TTCATACCCCTTGCTTTAGCCACACAAACGTCAACCTTAGCGTACCCTTCCAACAATAAAATACTCAGTACCTTTGTTAAATGACCATTCAATAAAGTCCGGGTAAAAACACAATGAAACATTTCAAACCACAGGGCTAAAACCTTTAGGTTGAGTGGCAAGAGTGGATTGAAGTTTGAATCGTAAATCGACGAATCGACAACCAACCTGTTATCAGTGATAACAGAAAATGATCCTCGTGGGATCAATCTGAATATATTCCAGATCCTGAATCAAACGATCAAGAAGAACTATAATATAAGACAAGCCAATCCCCAAGCTAAACCTATAAGTCAATGGATAATAATTTCCATATCACAATCTCACTCAAGGTTCTCATGTAAACTAAGTCTAAGCTTACTTTAAGCCAGTGCCTAAAGAAGAGGTAGACCTTTGACAGAATCTCCTCTATACAAACTCTCTATACAGAGTGGATTGCCAGAATTGTCACCTGTTAAAATATAACCTATCTCCTTTAAACTGAAAAAAAATCGGCAGCGGTTCTCGTAAGAAAAGTGTCTTCTCAAAATTTATACTAGCTCAGATAGGAAAATATAAATAATATGTAACTTTGGAAAGTTAAATTTTGTCCAACTTTCTGAATTAGTAAAAATTTGGGCAGCATCTCCTTTAAAAAGGTACACTTCCCAAATTTATACTAAGTCAGACAAGAACTCAGAAACCAGACTTGAGTTCGACTTAAGACAAAGTTCAACTGGCTTACACAAGGGATATTCTCAGAAGGAAAAAAACAAAACAAAAAAAACGACGGCTTTGCACTATGATTCTCTGATTGAAGGGACGCTGAACCCGGTTTCCAGTGGGTGCTGCGCCTCACCAACAAAAAGGAACCATCAACTCACGGACTCTCGCTAATGCGGAATGCTTTTTTTTTTTTTTTTTTTTTTTTTTYTGTAAAGCCCAGGTTGTTGTAGAAGCCGGACTCCAGACACACGGGGTTACTGACACAACTATTGGTAGTCCTGACAGTCCCTTATGCTCCGTAAGACCAGTTTCCCTACCCATCCTCTTGGCAATTCTCCTAGCGCACCCCTATCCTACTATCCTACCTCAGTATTGAGTACTAAGAACTATCACCATGCTATTTCAGAGGGTGACTTGAACCAGATAGTAGTTCTCAGCACCGGGGCTAGGCAGGGCCAAGCTCGAAGCCTTGAAAGCCCTTGAAGCACAGTCAAGGAGGCTATGTTACTTAGGTACATCAGGCGCCAGGCTCAAGCATTATGTCAACTTCACCTACCAACCCCCATTATGGCATGTTATTTTGTTCGTTATCTATATGTTATCTATGTATCCTTACTTTGGCATTTCATTCCTTTCTACAGATGTCAGATACCGAGGTGGGCCAAGGCCAAGCGCGAAGCCTTGAAAGCCCCAACCACCCCCAGTCATGTGTATGTGCTATGTGTGATATCTATGTGTCCATGGTTCTAAATACCAAGGCCGGACAAGGACAAGCGCGAAGCCTTGAGAACCCTTGCCCACCCCAGTCGTGTATGTGTATATTTTCTTTCTACAGATGTCAGATACTGAGACGGGATAAGGCCAAGTGCGAAGCCTTGAAAGCCCCAGCCAGCCCCAGTCATGGTATATGTGCTATCTGTGTATAGTGTGGTTATCATGGTTCTAGATACCAAGCTCGGGCAAGGATAAGCGCGAAGCCTTGAGAACCCTTGCCCAACCCCAGTCGTGTATGTGTATATTTCCTTTCTACAGATGTCAGATACTGAGGCGGGACAAGGCCGAGCGCGAAGCCTTGAAAGCCCCAGCCAGCACCAGTCATGAGTTTGTGCTATCTGTATGTCATGTGGACCCCCCACCAAGCCCCTGATGAATTCCGTATGCATAGGGTTGTACTGTTGTGTGAATGACGGTCCTATCTGTGCAAGAACCCCCCAAAGTTTCTAGCCAGACTCGAACCCATGCCCTTCATTATGTAACAGCAGTGCCCTACCATATGTGGTACGTTGTGAATTGATGCCAATGTATGATATGCCAGGACAGGGAAGAATATCAGAACCAACAATGACCACGTCAAGCAGCCCACACATAGTCAAGACCCAGCATACAACAACCTGGACTAGGTCCCCTTGGGTGGTGCGCAGGCAGTGTCTGTATAAGCTTACCGTGCGTCATCCCAAGGGTGTGTGTGTCCAGCCGTCCGTCATTCTAACACCCTGCCGGTGTCCATGCGCGAGGCTGCAATTGAGTTTTGAACCCGCAATCTGATACCAGAATGCGCATTTCCAAGCTGCAATTGAGTTTTGAACCCGCAATCTCATACCAGAATGTGCATCATTCTAACGCCCTGCCGGTGTCCATGTGCAAGGCTGCAATTGAGTTTTGAACCCGCAATCTCATACCAGAATGCGCATTTCCAACTGGTGCTCTAACAACTGAGCTACATCAACTGGACTATGGGGAATGCTCTTACCAACCCCATTAGCAAATATCCTGCCACACAGATGTTTCCAATTTAAAAAAAAAAAAAAAAAAAAAAAAAAAGGTAAAAAAAAAACATAAAGAAACAGGATTTCGCTTTGCTAAAACGCAAGGGCGTATTCACACAAACCTGCTGGTGAATGGAGATCTATGTTCAACTGGTTTAGTATGTTCAGCTGTGGGGGAGGGGGCGCTATGCTCCCCGGCCCCCACACGGCCCTCTCCCCCAACATGAGCTTCTCTGTGCTGAATCTCAGGCCATGCTCACAGTAGGCCATCACTTTGCTGAAGCTCAAGCGCGTGCAGTCAGGCTCATGGAGTCTGACCATAACCACGGTCAGACACATTTAGGAAAGTGCTTGGTGCAACCATGAATTGTTGAAATGAAGACAAGAGTTTAAGTCCGCTGTTGAATAGAGACCTGAGTTTGAATGTGTCGGCCATGTTTAGTTGTGTGGGGTGTGTGGGGGCTACATTGCTTTGCTGAAGCTCAAAATCATACCCACACAGGTGGTTGCAGTGACCCCTGCCCCCCCCCCCCAATGTCAGCTTTGCTGTGCTGAATGTCAGGACATACTCGCACTAAGACCTTGCTTCACTTTGCTGGAGCTTGAGGACATACTCGCACGGATCTGTTGTTGAATACAGACCTGTGTCCCAGATGAGTAGATTCGAAATTGAAACAGACTTGCCTTAAAATGTGTGTGTGGGCCGTGCCTTGCCGTGGTGCCGAAAGTGTATATCCAGTTACCCCCCACAGAAGAGAGCGGAGACAGTGGAGCATATCTTCATGCAGTGCCCGTCATCAGTACTGCTGTGGCGGTGGTGCGACAGGATCGGGCTGCAGATGTCCCCCGAGTCACCGTGGCCATGGGACTGGAGGGCGATCCTGCTAGGACACTGCCCAAACCTCCAGAAATGCGAATACGCTTGGAACATTTTCCGTCTTGGAAGAAGGTCCGTACTCTCAGTGATCTGGCGGAGGTGTGTGTGCTGGAGTTGGAGGGGGCTAGAGTGGAGGAGGGGGAGGTCACGGAACATTTCGGGCAACTGGTGCAGACCGAGATCACCGCCCGTTGGCAGGCCGTGAGGGAGAAGTTGGACAGCGTGCATTTCAGCAGGGATGCAGACCAGATCATTTCCCGGTTCTGTGAGGAATGGCTGGGTGGGAAGAGGGAGGGTTGGATAGCCAGGGTGACATGGTCGGAAGACGAGCAAATGGAACACCGCAGGGGAGAGGAGGAGGATCTGCAGACGGATATGAAGAGGGATTACAGGTTGCAGTTTCGAGAATGGACAACCATTGACCCGGGGATCCCACTCAGCCTGTGCAAGACTTTGGGGACCCCTTCCCTCCCCACCAGCTGTCACTGGTGGAAATTCTGCAGGAAGGAGCTTAGCCGGGACTCTGGCCGTAGATGGGGGTGTACAGTTAGCAGTTTTCTGCCTTTCTTTTTTCGTTGTC